AATTCTCCTCAACTCCTATTCCACTTTAGATGCCTCAGCCACGAGTTCCAAGCAGAAACGAAAGTGGACAGAAAAGGGTCAACCATGTTCCATTAAACGCCATATATAGCAATGTTTCATGTTTAGAAGAAGAGATTCCCGACTGGGAGTTCCCACGCGAGCAGGTTCACATACAGAAGTATGTCGGCAAGGGAGCATTCTGTGTGGTGGCTCAAGCGTTCGTGGAGGGACTTGGGACTGTCGCTGTCAAAATTCCCAAAGGTGCGTTATAGACACATTCCAGAAAACTAGACCAGTTGGGGTTTTGAAACAAACATGAAACGAATTGAAATAATTGCCGTAAGGTTTGAAATATTTACAATCCATAGCGGGATAACTTTTAAATTCTTATCTCAGGTTTGGTGAAAATGACTTGACAATGAATCACAACTTCTCGCTTCCAGATTTTCACGCTTTGTTTAATAGCTCTTAGCAAAAATCATAAAATCCACGATCTTTCTAACAAAAACTTAAACACAATAGACAGGTACCGAATTAGGAGTGCTTTCACTTCGTTTAGACTGTAAGATGTTTATGTTTTCCAAATACGTTTCCACTCAGTTACTTCATATAGATGTTTTTANGCAGCTTCAACCCCATCCTAATGTCATCCGCTTGATGGGTGCAGTTACCTTATCAGGTACGTTTATCATGAATATCTGACTACTTGTTACTCCGTATTTACTCGTTATCTCATCGAATGTACGTCATAAATGGGACAAAGCTCAGCTTTTTTTGAATTTTAATTGACAACTGAAAAAGTAATATCTTGCGGCAAAGTCAATTGTGGACCTATTTCAATTTGCTCTGTTAATTGTCTTTCCTCAGACCAAGAGCTGTTAAATTGAAAATTTGTTTGTTTTAAATTTAATCATATATACATGTATTTAAATGCATGTTTGCCTAGACAACGAAACAGTTCTATACAGAACATCACATAGTCTGAATTGAGGAAACAAACACACCAACCTAAAAAGATATATCAGATCACCTCAGCTGCATCCTTGCCACACCGCAAACTGCCGCTCGTAAGTCCTCCGGCTTATACCCCATTGGGTACAGGTCCATCAACCTGCCGGATAAAAACTCCCCCCCCCCCACCACCACCCCCGCTAATTTAAAATGTAATGAATTCAATTTATTATGATGTTTCAAAGCTTAATTTATAAAAAATAAAAAAATAAACAGTATTTGAAAAACGTTTTTCCATCAACACTGCTGTAGCTCTTTTCGAAACAGTTTGCTTATTCCGCTTGTAAGCCTCTCCGGATATAAACCCTTCCCATCGAAAAAAACCCAGGGCTTATAAACGGCAATTTACGGTATGCTTGCTTTGCCGAGGTACATTTAATCCTTATTGCAACTTCAACCTTTAACCTGTTGGATTTCCAGATCCGGTCATGGTGATGTTCGAATACATACCGTACGGGGACTTGCTTGGATTCCTGAGAAAAAGCCGAGGCCTCAGTGACAACTACTTTAAGGACCCGGATGTAAAGCCGTCAAGTTCTCTCACATCAGTACAACTTCTAAAGTTTGCGCGGGAAATAGCTGATGGCATGGCATTCCTGGCTGCTAACAAGGTGAATTAAAAAAAAAAAAATGAACACATTAACAAGACACTGAAAAAATAAGTTGTGACACTTACGAAAACGATTCTTGGCGATATTTAGCCACCACTTCTTTGCATTCTTCCTCTAGGCATGATTTTTTCAAACCTCCTCGCACCCTATTTAAAAAACTAACACTATTTTGAGGAAAAGAAGGGAAAATTCTCTTATTAAGGGACCCCAAAATAGTATTTGATATTGCAGAGTCCCTATTGTAGCCCATGTCAATACTTGTCATGTTTCGGAGTGAAGGTAAAACACAAAAGAGAATAGACAAAAAGCTGGCGCCGACAAGAAGTCGGTAAACTAGGAGATAAAGGTCGCGTCATGGTTTTTAGCACTGCTGTTCTAATTGGGAAAAAAGCAAATTAAACAAATTTTTCGGTGCAAGTGGCACAGAAAACTTGACTCCAACTGGAGAGAGGCTGACTAGTAGCAACAGGCCAGTTTTGTTATACAGTGAAACCTCTATTAAGCGGACACCTTCGAGACCTTCCCAAGTTTCCGCTTAATATATAGAGGGTGTCCGCTTAATAGCGGTTTGTAAAAATTGCGCAATGTTCGTTAACGATTAACATTCAACGGCTACTCTGTACTGCGATAAAGTTCCATTTTGTTAAGGAAGCTATCCAGAGTTCAAGTTCAATACCTTTCATTACCAATTTTAATTTCTTTTTTAAATGCAAAAACATAACAGCAAAGCAGCAACGATAATACGTGCGGTACATGGACTCTTTGTCAATTCAGTTTGCTGTCCGCTTAATAGAGGTTTTTAACAATAGAAATTAGCCAAATACAATTTATTTTAGTGTCCGCGTCCGCTTAATAGAGGTGTCCGCTGAATAGGGGTT